GAGAAGTAAATTAATATTAAGCTGGAAAACGCAAGTTTTGTATTATGATTGTTTTCTTTTCAAATGAAATTTATTGAAGAAACTGAGAAGCATATTATAGATCAAACAGAAAGCAAAAAAGACTTAGTTTTGTGGAAAATATGTTCAAAAAGCATGAAAAAAAATTCCAACATTTTACTTCATAAGCACTACAAAAATTTTTTAAATCAATTTTTTTTTTTAATTTTAATTGTTGCACAGCAATAATTTGGCTTTAACAGATTGAAAAAATATCAATTAGTCGACGAGTTATAGCCAAAAAACCATATAAACAATATGCTGAAAATCGGCATTTGACTGCAAAGTTCGAAGGTCGATTAAAAAAAAATTCGAACTAACATAAACAAACTCCGCGATACGGGTCTTCTAATTTAGCCTCTATTTTCACCCCTCACTCTTGTTCCACAGTGTAATTTAACCTGCTAAACAAAAACAAATTGAGAAACATTGTTTTTGTTTTGCTTTATAATTTTTGGGAATATTTGTTCATGAGAAATTCGCAATAGGGCCGATTATCTTTGCGATTGTCAACATTTTCTATGCATTTGCCAAAACGTTTCACTAGTCTCAACAGTAGGGCTCGGAATCTCATGCACTAAAAAATCGAAAATATGCGCATATAATATGCACTCAAAAGTCAAAAATATGCGCTATAAACAAGTGAAATATGCAATTAAAAATATTTTCCTAATATTTTGTTGTCGCACATAGGGACGAATCGACAATATAGGACGACAAAAATGTTTACTCCATATGTATTTGACAGATTTCAATGAAATTTGGTATTCAGGGATATTCATCATTGATTTCGAATATTAAATTAAATTTCCAAAATTCACAATGGCGGATCCAATATGGCGGACGAATTCTTAAAAAATGTTTATATTGTTATGAAGCTTGGTGTCCAGAGATTTTCGTCGTCACTGATTTCGAAATTGATGTTCAATTTTCGAAAATCAAAATGGCGGATCCAATATGGCGGACGATTTCTTCAAAAATGTATCTATTCGACAGATTTCAATGAAATTTGTTAATTAGGGATTTTCGTCGTCACTGAACTCGAATATTAAATTAAATTTCCAAAATTCAAAATGGCGGATCTAATAAGGCGGACGATTTATTAAAAAATGTATAGGTTTTTATGAAGCTTGGTATCCAGAGCTGTTCGTCATCACTGATTTCGAAATTGATATTTAATTTTAAAAAATCAAAATATATTGTTATGAAGTTTGGTATCCAGAGATTTTCGTCGTCATTGATTTCGAAATTGATATTATAATTTCAAGAATTCAAAAAGGCGGATCAAATATGGCGTCCCGAACAATAGGCGTTTTACTTTTATCGCATTGCATTATCTTTAGCACCATTTGNATTCAAAAAATTTTTAATTTAATTTATTTAATTTTTTTACTCAAAACTTTTCATAACTAACATTTCAATATTATATTTTTTTCAATATTTTTATAATTTCTTTTTCAATGTTTCTTCAAAACCAACACTGAAAAAATTGGTACATAAGAAATGAGAAGTAAATTAATATTAAGCTGGAAAACGCAAGTTTTGTATTATGATTGTTTTCTTTTCAAATGAAATTTATTGAAGAAACTGAGAAGCATATTATAGATCAAACAGAAAGCAAAAAAGACTTAGTTTTGTGGAAAATATGTTCAAAAAGCATGAAAAAAAATTCCAACATTTTACTTCATAAGCACTACAAAAATTTTTTAAATCAATTTTTTTTTTTAATTTTAATTGTTGCACAGCAATAATTTGGCTTTAACAGATTGAAAAAATATCAATTAGTCGACGAGTTATAGCCAAAAAACCATATAAACAATATGCTGAAAATCGGCATTTGACTGCAAAGTTCGAAGGTCGATTAAAAAAAAATTCGAACTAACATAAACAAACTCCGCGATACGGGTCTTCTAATTTAGCCTCTATTTTCACCCCTCACTCTTGTTCCACAGTGTAATTTAACCTGCTAAACAAAAACAAATTGAGAAACATTGTTTTTGTTTTGCTTTATAATTTTTGGGAATATTTGTTCATGAGAAATTCGCAATAGGGCCGATTATCTTTGCGATTGTCAACATTTTCTATGCATTTGCCAAAACGTTTCACTAGTCTCAACAGTAGGGCTCGGAATCTCATGCACTAAAAAATCGAAAATATGCGCATATAATATGCACTCAAAAGTCAAAAATATGCGCTATAAACAAGTGAAATATGCAATTAAAAATATTTTCCTAATATTTTGTTGTCGCACATAGGGACGAATCGACAATATAGGACGACAAAAATGTTTACTCCATATGTATTTGACAGATTTCAATGAAATTTGGTATTCAGGGATATTCATCATTGATTTCGAATATTAAATTAAATTTCCAAAATTCACAATGGCGGATCCAATATGGCGGACGATTTCTTCAAAAATGTATCTATTCGACAGATTTCAATGAAATTTGGTATTCAGGGATATTCATCATTGATTTCGAATATTAAATTAAATTTCCAAAATTCACAATGGCGGATCCAATATGGCGGACGATTTCTTCAAAAATGTATCTATTCGACAGATTTCAATGAAATTTGTTAATTAGGGATTTTCGTCGTCACTGAACTCGAATATTAAATTAAATTTCCAAAATTCAAAATGGCGGATCTAATAAGGCGGACGATTTATTAAAAAATGTATAGGTTTTTATGAAGCTTGGTATCCAGAGCTGTTCGTCATCACTGATTTCGAAATTGATATTTAATTTTAAAAAATCAAAATATATTGTTATGAAGTTTGGTATCCAGAGATTTTCGTCGTCATTGATTTCGAAATTGATATTATAATTTCAAGAATTCAAAAAGGCGGATCAAATATGGCGTCCCGAACAATAGGCGTTTTACTTTTATCGCATTGCATTATCTTTAGCACCATTTGAACCTATTTTGAATTTTGAAAATTTAATTTGAATTTCGTAATCAAAGATAACGAGGATTTCTGAATACCAAGTTTCATAAAAAAAAGGGGGACGAGTTCGTGATATTTTTACATTGACAATTTGTTGGATTTTCGAACTGTTGAAAAGAAATTGCTGTACTCGTTGGAACTTTTTTTATAACTGTAACTAATATAAAAATTTAAAAATTGTTTCAATAAAAAAAGGAAATTTATAAAATACGTATTATACCCATTTTACAAACAACTATACTACTAAAAAAAAATCGCAAAATAAAGTACATACCTCATGCCTCACTTTCCATGTGGACAAAACCATTAGTTGTTAATAAGAATAAAATGACAAGCGAAACAATTTTATCATCGCTTCAAACAAAAAATTATTTAATTCGACGCACAATAGTAAACCCAACTTTGCGCTTCTGCTAAAGCTGCTGCGTTGCGTTAAAAGCCAAAATTTGTGTGTT